GTTTTTATTTTATTTAAGTTACAATTCACCCTTAACCCCTCCATTATCGATCAATTGCTTTCAAAATCAATAGAATGTGTCCCCTTATAGAGATTAATATGTCCTAAAAATTTCAACTTGATACTGTTTTTCGTTTTTAATTTATGATTTTTTTTTTAATTTCAACTCCCCTCAACCCCCCATTTTTAATCAGATTTTTTTTTAAATGCAGGACGCTTATTGTATTTTCTATATTTGGATCCAATGTTGACGCTGAAAGGATATTTTCAATGTGGTCAGCTTCGTGGACTGACGTGCGTAATCAATTGTCCATTTGCTGCAACTTTTTATATTCTTTGTTCTTTTTAAATAAAATGTTTAATCATTAGTTTCTATTTATCCAAAAAATCCTTGTTTTTTCATTGAATTGTTTGTTGTTTTTGTAATAATAAAAATGTCCAGAATGTATACCGTATGTCCTGAATTTTTATTACCCTAGTCCAGAAAAATTAAAAACAACATCCCTACGTATTACGGCTATTGATTGATGCTTGTCCAATCTCTCGATTTTCTTATTAGACATATTCTTAGTTAATTTTATAATTAATTTTGAACTAAGTAGGTTTTAACTATATAATATTTCAACATTATTTTCACATGGTAACAAAAATGATTTAATCTATTTTGTTATTAATTATTATCTTATCAAAAATTTGCTCTGCATAAATAATTAAAAAAATCCACACAATAGGTACCTAACAAATGCAAAGTATTATTTTTAGAGATGATTTGATGATATATAAATTGATTTGCAGATCCTATAATTAATTTATCAGTTCCGAATTAAATATGTACCTTATTCAGATAATGGGTCCTATGATTGAACGTTTACGTTAAGTTTAACACGAATCTGTTATGTTATGCTAACAGGGAATAGATAACGTATGAAATAACAGTAGGTGTCATATCCGTATTATTGAAGTAGTCGATAACAGAAGATGTTGAGCTGGCTGTTATGAATGGAAGAAAGTATTTATTTGCGTTATTGCGCGTGCGCACAAAATGTACCTAACTTCACTTCATTTCTAAAAATGACTATAAATGTGGTTTTTCATGTTTTTCTGAATAAAAAAAAAAAACAACAATTAGGTTAGAATTTTTTGTAGTTCATTTTTCAGTTTTATTTAATTTTTTATGGCAAAAAGATTAGCTAAAACAACTGTGTAATAGTATGAGGAACTACATAATTTTGTTAGAAAAAACAAAATTATTCTCACGGGGGAAACAAATATATTAGATAAAAAAAAAATCAAACCTTTGGCTAGTATTTACAAATCATATCATTTAAAAACAAATTCAAATATACTAAGAATTCAGATAATTAGCAATATAGGTATTAGATAATTAAATAATAAACAAATAAAGTGGTAACATAGACGTTGGACACTTAACGGCATGTTATTCGAGGCTGTTGAGGCGATACGTTAAATTAGAACATAACAGGTGGAAAATAACAGTAACGTGTTATGAAAAACTTTACATCATACGAATTTGGCACGTTGCTGTTAAAACTCGGCCTAACATGTACGTTACGGATAACGTAAACGTACATGTTAGGCCGAATTTTAAAAGTAACGAGGCAAGTTCGTATGATGGAAACCTGTTAAATTAGAACATAACAGGCGGAAAATAACAGTAATGTGTTATGAAAGACTTTACATCATACGAATTTGTCTCTTTGCTGTTAAAACTCGGCCTAACATGTACGTTACGGATAACGTAAACGTTCAATCATAGCACCCAATGGGTCCTATGATTGAACGGGGGAGGACGAGTAGCGCATCGAATCGAGAAATCGTACATTGAGGGAAAAGCTATAGGTAAACCGCAGAAACAAAAAAAATTGGGTGCTAGGCCACACCTCGGTGCCCCACTGACCCGAACTAAATAAAATTCTTGTTTAATACATTGGGTTTAACATTTATTATTGGTTTCCAAATTATTAAGAATATATTAAGAAAATGGGAGTTATTGGGTCCAATGAACAAAATAACCGAAATAAACGAACAAAAATATTTATTTGAAAGCTACGTCCTAAAGTAAAATTCTTCGGTTTGTTTATGCCACTTCGTCCAAAATTTCTTCTGCTGTAATAACAATATCATGGTGTGCGTAAAGGACTGCCACACCATTTAGCCTATTCTCTTGCATAGTGCTACTCAAATAATTTTTCGAATATTTTAAATTTGAGAAAGACCTTTTGGATGTTGTAATGGTCAAAGTTAAAAATTGTGTCTTTTTATATTTGGAAATATAGTGGCATCACACATTTTGAATATACCTTGGCCAGATTTTCATTCAGATTTTTATTTTTGCTTTTTTTTTATTATAACTCTAAGTTCAGCTTTTAATTTAGTTACAAAAGGATAAAAAAACCTTTAAGAAACTCATGTACTTTGTAAAAGTTGTGCAGTTTCAAAAAACATTTGTTTTGACTTTTAAAGTTCTGGCTATTAAAATGAAAGAGACGTTTAAAGTTTTGAATTGTTTTTTGGTTTAAGAACCTTTTCTCGAGGTTTACTATCAGGTCATCTAAAAACTGAATAAAAATTATGATTTGAAATATTTAGAAGCAGAATCGGTATTTAAAACAAGTATTTATGTTTGTCAAGCAGGTACTTTCTGTCAGAGATAATGTGAACCTCTCTTTAGAGACCATTGGTATTGATACATGTCAAGTCATCTGTCAATCTAGTCATTTTTATATACACATGTTAAATAAACCAGTTACCATTGTTTAATTAACATCGCTCATCCCAGCTCACAACATAAAAGATATCAAGGCAGATATCAATACTCGTGTCATCTTAATTTCTATATCGTACTCCGAAAGAAGATTTTAAAAATATTTTTTCAAATACTCATCTGAAAATGGGATTATATAATGAAAAAGGTTCGGTAATATAAAAAATACCCTTTAATTTTTGAGTTTGGAGGTACCTACATATAAGTATAGTGTATACCTAGAATAATACAGAATCACGGAAACCCTCCCCCCTACTGGTTAGAGATATCTTTAATACAAAAAGCGGCAATACTTGCACCTTGAGAGTCCTGTAGATCATTATTCCATATTACAACGTTTATTGTAAAAACAAATAAAATTAACTCTATTCTACTAGGAAATACACATGAGCACACCATGAGCAAAACTGTTAATACCCTAACACCGACTAACACTAAACAACTTCCTTAATAGTTAGTTTTTAAATAATGTCATTTCAAGAAAAAATAAAGAGTGCATTAATTGATCTAGTACTTCTAGTAGTCTATTTAATCAAAGAGTTTTCTGTGGCTTATTTGAGTACCTTTACAACCTAAATTAAAATAGGTTTTTATTACATCAATTTATTTGACTTGATGTCGCCAATCTTTTTTATATAAATATAAAATGTATACAAGTTATGTTGGATATGCTGACGATGCTAAAAAAATATACCTATGTGTTTATTTTATTTAAGCAAATAAAGTATCTATTCTAATACTTTTTTCACCATTTCATTATTCGAATAAAAAATAATATTCATATTCATAAAATACACAAATTTGTCGGTCACTATGCGGCCTGAATCCAACCCTGTTAATCCGCAACCGTAAACGTGCCGTAAACGAACACTCCGAGCAATTGCTCGGAGAACGAAAACGAACATACATAACCTTGAAAATATCTGAATCAGTGTTGCCGTTGCTATTACAATTGTAACAAATCTATTACTAAAAAGTTACACCAGTACGTTATTACGACTTTTAAGAAAAGAGGAAAAATCTATTACCTTTTAAAATATCAAAATTTTATGAGTGGCTCCATTTAAACTTCAGAGCCCATACTTAAAAAAATTAGAAATCTGTACATTTGTTATTTCTGTGTTTTCTTATTTCAATAAATCCAAGATAGGCGTCAATTTATTATTATTATTGTATTATTTTTTTGTTATTATGGTCAGTTTTTAGTTTAGTAGGGGATAACCACCAGCCTCCAGCATAATTTATATATTGTTTTTAATAACGTAGACCCCTTCAAGACCGAAGAAATACTAAATTACAAAAATTTACCCTTAGGTGAATTTTGGGCTAACATCTTTAAAATAAAAAAAAACACTGCATGAACCAAATGTTTAAAATTTACAAATATTAATTTGTGGTTTATTTTCATTACTCCATTCTTTTGCAGCAGCAGAAATAATTTTCTCTCAACTAAATAAGTTTTATTGTTAATAGTTATTTTTGCAACAAGTGCAAAAAGTGTTTATTGTACGCGACGTGAAATTGTCAGGCCGAGTTGGACAACAAAGTCGAGTGCAATAAACACTTTTTGTACGAGTTGCATACAATATTTTTTCTACGTTCATGCAAAAATCAAAAAATGTTTTATAGAACTGCAGTTGTATTATCCAAATCATAGTAGCCGTGATCGTGTACCTTTGTTTGAGGCATTTATTTACGTTTGTGTTCATAATTTGTAATTATATTTTTAATAAAATACATTTTTTATTAATTTATTTATTAAATGATTGAAAATAATATAAAATATGCAATTGTTTTTAAAACGTAACACAGAAAATGAAAATGGACTAAATATTTGGAGTTGATTTGAATATTTATGTTTGTCATGATCATAAAACGCTGTAGTAAAATGACAGATGAGTGCAATAAAATTTTTATTGCACTAGTGCAATAAAGACCCAGTTTTTTCACTAAATATAGTTCAATAAAGTTTTGTTTTTTGCATGAACGTAGAAAAATGTATTTAATAATAGTTCTGGTACATTTTATGTTACTTTAAAATATTATCTATTACGATTTTATTACCTTTTGCTTCAAAATTCTATTACGAAAAAATTAATTGGTGTGGCAACACTGATCTGAATACCTACTTGACTTTAAATAATAAATAATGACCTTAATTGTTTGTTTTGTTGTAATTAATTTTGTTAATAATATATTATATTTATAATATAAAAATGTTTTTTACCGCAATAGGTATAGGGGTGTTCGTTTATGGGGTGGTTTTTTCGGTTTTAGCTTGTTTAGCTGACTGTGATGTTGAACTTTGGTTATATGAGAAATTAGGAAAATCTCCACGTAAGTATTACATTTATAAATATATCTGGTTAGTGTTAATGGAGGTTTGAAAAGAGAAAAAATGAGTACCGTCGGAATGTCGGAAATTTATTTGTACTTAGAACCAATATGAAACTACATAGTACATACCTGAAAATTTAATTTATTTTGACGATTATAATATGTTGATATTTACGAACGGCACCAGACCGGAGGCAGAGGCCAGTCAACAGTCAACACAGTAGAAGTTTGTACTTTGAATTCGAAAACCAGGGTTGGCCTTTGCTTAAAAATATTTTTTATTACATTCTGTTCAATAAATAAATTTTATAAGTACAGCAAAGATATTCTTTATTTATCTCTTTCTAAAATAGTAATTTTTTTAACCTATTTGCGTGTGCGTAAAGTATCACTTATTGCCACTATATCCAGAAACGTTACAATCAGTGTTGCCGTGGCGAGATGAGCGAATTATTTTACAAACGGCTTTTTATAAGGTATTTAGATAAAATAAAGTTTGGTTTTAGCATATCACTTGCTAATATAAAGAAATTAAAAAATATCTACAAATTTGTTGAGGTTATTTAGGTTTGTTCCAACAACGATCGAAAAAATTAATTGTAGAAATTTTAGCTTCCTTCTTCGTTCGTGGAGCCTATCCCGAACGTATTCTGAATGCTAAGGTAGACCATACACGCCTGCATAAACATTTAAACAATACAAATTCGGTTATTGCAGTGTAATTTTTACCTTAGCGTTCGGAATCAGTACATTCCATGAGTACATTGTTACCGCGAACGAAGCTAATAGGTCTTTTCCTTTGCATCGAAAGTGTAGCACTGAGCTACACCACTTCTGAAAATATCGTTCCATATATACAAATTGTATGGACGGAACGATATTTTCAGAAGTGACGTAGCTCAGTGCTACACTGTCGATGCAAAGGAAAAGTCCTTATATGCGCTAGTTCAGTGATGATGTAATTGGCTCTATCAAGCTAGCGGGCACTCTGTGGCGGCACCATACAAGACCTGGTGGGTTTTTTGTAGCTTTTTTGTTACACTATTTGCAAATTTGTAGCTTAGCCCAGGTCCGAAAAAACAGCGGATCCGCTAGCTTGAATTTCCATAAATTCCATTGTAGCGGCACAGATTCAGACCCAGCTGGTTTTTCGTAACTTTCTTGTAGCTTTTTTGTTACGCTAGTCTCCCTTTTGTAGCTTGTACTGAACCTGAGAAAAGCGCGGATCCGCTAGCTTAGCGGATATTTGTAGCGGCACCAGCTCGGAGCAGGCTCATTTTTTGTAACTTTTTTGTAGCTTTTTTGTTACGCCTGTCTCCATTTCATTGCGAGGCCTGAACGTGAGTAATAATCGTTTCTCCATGAGCGTGAGAGAAAAGTGCGTTAATTTAAAATCAAGTTTCAGCCTCTACAAATAATATGTGCAACTCGATAGTGTGACTATCTGTTGATAGATGGCACCAGTATTGCATTTCACGAATTATGGCCATCTTCCATCCAATATATTTTTGAGAAATTTAGATATAATCTCAAAATCGGACATTTTTCAACGGTATGTATATTAATTATTTGTCCGATATTAATGTAAAATACATATTGGCAAGATTATTAAAATAGTTGTATGCCGGACGCCACTATTTTCCCGATCGGGTGTTTTCGGTTATTTTTAACCGACTTCAAAAAAGGAGGAGGTTCTCAATTCGTCGCTATATTTTTTTTTATGTATGTTCAGCGATAATTCTTTAACACGGTGTCCGATTTCAATGATTATTTTTTTGTTAGAAAGGGGGTACTTTAGGGGTGGTCCCATATATATTTGGTCAAAATCTAATAATTGGGTCCATGAGAAAATCCTCAAACTCTTCATTTTTTATGTATGAGCTCTAGTATGGATGATATAGAAGAAATAGGAGTTTTACAGGCACTAAACAATGTTATAAATTCTACTAAAGTTTCACGCTGTTTTTCCGTTATTCGTGAACCACGCTGTTCCATTTTCAATATTCTAAATCTAAACCATGCACTCCAATTCTCAAGTAAAAAATACAAATATTCATAGTTAAAACATCTAAAAACCAGAAATTATTAGACATCTGCAATCCATTTAATTTTATAATTTTTGGCAATTTTAACATATGTCAATGCAATTATCTCATATTCAGTGATACCATCTTTGGTATTTTCAATCCTCATTGGTTAAGACTATGCAATAATCAAAGACTCTTCGTTAACACGTTCGACTTGATTCGCGATTATCGCATGGTGTTCAGGAATACTAAATTGCTGTCGTATGCGTTAACGACCATGCGTTACTTAGCGCATGCGGCAGTTAACGCATGTTTCGAGAATTGGGCCCCAGGGGCCCAATTCCTGACGCCTTCGTTAACTTATCGCATGCGATAACGTATGCGACTTGATGAAAGTGTATTCCTGAACTGGCGGCATTCGTCAAATTTATTAACGCATGCGCTAAAAAATGGTGATTTTCAAAGAGCGCTCATGACCGTTCGACAACCACTTTGTCGCATTCGTTAAGGTGAAAGTAAGGTTATAATCAGAGGGTGGTCTCCACATACTTTGATTTTCTTTTGTATGTGGTTGTCTCTGTTATAATTGTCAATTAATCCTGCTTTATCATAGGAGTTTTACAGGCACTAAACAATGTTATAAATTCTACTAAAGTTTCACGCTGTTTTTCCGTTATTCGTGAACCACGCTGTTCCATTTTTAATATTCCAAATCTAAACCACTCCAATTCTCAAGTCCAAAATGCAAATAATCACAGTTAAAACATCCAAAAACCAAAAATTATTAGACATCTGCAATCCATTTAATTTTATAATTTTTGCATTTTTGGCAATTTTGACATATGTCAATGCAATTATCTCATATTCAGTGATACCATCTTTGGTATTCTCAATCCTCATTGGTTAAGACTATGCAATAATCAAAGACTCTTCGTTAACACGTTCGACTTGATTCGCGATTATCGCATGGTGTTCAGGAATACTAAATTGCTGTCGTGTGCGTTAACCACCATGCGTTACTTAGCGCATGCGGCAGTTAACGCATGTTTCGAGAATTCGGCCCCTGGTATTTCGTAGGAGAACGCCGTGTTCTCTCAATAATTATTAGTAAACGCATGCGGGGTAGCTGATTTATTATTTTTGGCCCGTAATTAAGTAATTTTTTTAACTTTTTTCATATTCGTACATTTCGTATTTTTATATTTTTAATAAAATCATTATTGATAACAATAGAGTGAATAATTTATTAGCATAAGTAAAATATTATTTGGTACCTCATCACAAAAATCAATTATTGTAATTCTAATAAATGCATGGGTACCTATACATACCTACATATCTATTATTCGTATTCTGGGAATTGTAAATTAGGGAAAATCCCAAAATCCTAATAAATAAGGGTCGTACTATTTAGTAGGTAGGTACCATTTAAGCTATATTTATTGCCTAAAATGGGAATACAAATTATGAAAAATCCCAAAATTGATATTAGTGTTCAGTGTTAAGAAGTTTATAAATTGTCTCCTATGACAAATATCTTTACTGAAAGCAAATTGTATGGTTTTGTTTTGTAAAAATAATTACAAAATTAGAAAAACACAAAGAATGATTGTTAAAAATGTTAATTTAATCCCATTAAACTGAGAAAGTGATATTTGAAAAGTTGAAATAAAGTATAAGTATTGACAATAATCTAGTTAAGCTACAGTTAGTTAAAGTAGGTAGCACGGAGGAAGGATAATTAAGAGTTGCAGATTCCGTAGGTAGTAAACAAAAGTTATAAAAATTTTTTCGAAATAAATTATAACCCTTTATATAATAAGTAAGTTGAAAATATTTCAAATTTCTATGAGGCGGTCACTCCAGTTTATATAATTAGTCTAATCTATATATTTGTAAACATATGTATTGAATTTTCTTTACCGAATTTTTATTAATAAAATTATTTATTTGATATTAATACAAACTTACTTTTCTTTAGCACAAAATTTAAAACAAAATCGACTACCTATACTATAAATTTCCGGTTTGCAAATTTAATTTTTAATTAAGTATCTTAAAAAAGTGAACTCTGTAATGGCTGTACGTTTTTCTTTTCCCTCTTCTATGCTTTTAATAAAAAAATATATATATTTTTATCATATTATAGAAAACTCCTACGAAACGACCTCTTAGGGTCGGTTTTTCAATGTCCAGTCAAAGTGGCTGTTACGTAGCCGACAGCTATATTTAGCTGGCAGTCAAAGTCCCTGTTACCGATGGAATATGGATGGAAGTGTTTTTCATCACGAATTTAACTGCTAGCTACGTAGTCTAATAGTTTTTATTTATTCTTAGACAGGTTGGCATTTCTGCTAATTTGTTAAATGGTTTTTATTGGATAATTTAAATTTTCCGTTTTACATATCGTGTCTTGTGTTGATCGTCACCGACCTTCACATAAAAATTGTTCTATTTTGCTTCCATTTTTCTTTAAGATCTTGTTATTTTCTGTTTTTGGGCAATTGGTGATTTAGAAAAAAGAGAAAATATCTAATTACGCGGAATCAGATAGAGCCCTACTATTGAAATTTGGTTATCTTACAAAATGTAAAAAAAAACGGAAATTGCAATATCACGGAAACGAAATGAGAAGGTTGCAGAAAAATCTAAAATTTAATAATTCGGCATCAACTGCTATGGTTATTAGCCTCGTGTTCTGTGTAGGCTTTGTTACTGTTTCCCTAGTACCCAACAGTGAATGGTAGGATTCCACACTCGACCATTTACTGTTGGGTACTAATTAACAGTGTTGTTCCTAAAGTGGCGCTGGGAAACAGTTACAAAGTCTACACAGAACACGAGGCTAATAACCATAGCAGTTGATGCCGATGACACAAAAAACAAAAAAAAATAAAATTTAGTTCATCGATATCGAAATAAATGGGCCGTTCCCTTACAACACACGGATTACACGGTCATCATTGATTAATATTCAATAATTTAAATAATTTATTTTTTGGCATCGTCGCTGTGAATAGAAACCCATTTTTCAGAAATAAATAAAAATATTAACCTCTAAATTTAACAAACATCGTCTTACGCATGTACAATAAATAGCTGGCGGCTATTTGTACGAAATTACCACTTGCAAGTGTCGGTTACGGTTACAGTCAAAATAGCTGACGGCTATCGTATAACTGGAGGTCGATAAACGTTTTGACAGGCAGTGGCTGACGGCTATCTCCGTAGCTGCCAGCTATCCTAAATAGCCGGAGATTGAAAAACCGGACCTTAATCACACTCTTAGGGCCCTATTCAGTAATTTATCGTTTATGAACGACATCGTTAAGCTAACGACAGTTCAACCAACGACTTTTATAACGATAATTTTTGAAACTCTATTCAATAACAAAGTCGTTACGTTGTTTCTAGTTACCAAATCTGAACGATGATTTCTAGTAAGTTGGTATTATAATTTAGTGTTTTGTGATAAAAGAACGTATGTTGATGATTATACCGGGTGTTTAAATTAAAGTTTTACAGTTAAATATCGCCAAAAATATGAATTTTATAAAAAAAAAAGTATCAGACAGAAGTTTTATAGTTTTTTAGGGGAAACATTTTGGCCAAATTATTTTTTTTTATAGCTGACCATAATATGGCCATATCGAGGTGGATTTTTTTTCAAATTGGAACCCTATTTTTTTACATAGGTATTTTCAGAGTTCATAAAAAAATAAGAAACTTTTAAGGACCGATTCCACCGTTGTGTTAAAATCGGCCCTAAAGGAAACATTTTTTTAATTGGATTTCTACTTCATTGAGTAACACCTACTTGAAAATTTTGCTGCGCGAAAAAAAGTTGGCCATATTATGGTTTGCTATAAAAAAACATTTTTAGCCAAAATGTTTTCCCCAAAAAACTATAAAACTTTGTTTTTTTTTTATAAAAGGCGGTATTTAACTGTAACCCTTTAATTTGAACACCCGGTATATTTGACATTTTTTTGGAACTAGTAGATATATTCATTTGTTTTTCAGAATATATTAATTATTGTTCTTTGAACACCCGGTATATTTGACATTTTTTTGGAACTAGTAGATATATTCATTTGTTTTTCAGAATATATTAATTATTATTGTTCTTTAAACCTACAACACGATCATCAGGGGGTCGATTCTCGATTCGTAGTAATTCTGTTTCTCGCGGGCCATTTTTGCTGGTCGTATTGTATGTAGGGTTTATTTAAATGAGTATGGATATATTAAAAAAAACTGAGAACTATTCCATAAGAATACAAAAAACAACTCGAGAACAGTACAAGTTGTATTTATTGGAATTGAAAGACAAACCAAATTTGTGTAGGTTACGGAGAAGTATTATAGGTACTTCCATAATATAGGTTCTGTTACTGTTTCGCAAAGAACAGCACTGTTAATAAGAATCGAATGTAAATGGTTCAATAGGCAATCCTAAACTTTGAATCAGATTTATTTTTAAAATAATTAAATAAATTAGAAAAAAATTCCTTACAAATTGTACTTGCTGTATTAGGTAGATGGCAATTTAGTTGTAAAATTTGTAAAAAAGTGCTTTTATTATTTAAAACAATGAAAAATGAGAGGGAATGCAAAAATCACTATAACGACACTTCATATTATTAACGACAGCTATCGTTGATGAACGACAATTTTACAACCATATTTGTCTATCTATTTTCAACGACAATCGTTGTCTACTGAATAAGAAAAGTCGTCTGTGAACGATTATCGTCTATTAACGACGTCGTTCAGAGTTACTGAATAGGCCCCTTAATTTCTAATTCATAATTAATATTCTCCAAATATGTCAAATTCAATACGGATAGGTGACGATTTTAATATTTTCTTCTTTTATTATCACAAAATTATATCCAGTTAACAAATTATAGTTCAAATGTCTACAAAAATCAAGAATAAGAAGATATTAGAGTTGGCAACACCGTGCACTTTATTCCCCCGTTTGATCACGTTCACCGAGTTTCGGGAATACTAATAATCTTTCCTCCATGGGGAATACGGCCAAACCACTTCGAGAGAAACGCTGTAAGATGTGATCGTTCACCTCTCCTATAGGAACGCTTACATCGTCCAAGCTCGAGAATCGACGCACAGTTGTCAGGCACCATAGGATAAGGACATTGTTAGGGACAGTAATTTTGTCACAAGATTAAGTAAAACCATAATATTTTTACACTTTTTAATCTTCCATAAGCGTTCACTAACCTAATTAAAGCAACAAATATTATTAAAACACATTTGTAAGCTAAAAAATTAAGAATATGCATTTATTCACGACATTCTCACGTAGCCATATTGTTTTTAATTTTTTTCGATTTGACAGTCACACTAAGAGCGCCTGTGCGTGATTTTTGCGACGTTGCCAACTGCTTTATATTGTTAATAATGATATCAAATAATTTTTGTTTATGAATAATAATGACAACTGACATTTCTATTTCTATAAATGTGGTGTTGTCAAACATAGTAAAAGAACGTACATAACAGGAATGACAGTGGCTCCAGGCCAGATGATAAAACCAGAATATAAATGTGTTTATTTGAGACTTTTCATTTCAATTATTCAATTTGAGCTGTGTCCAGGCCGTTGGAGTCTATGCCGGTCGGCGTAGCCAAGTATGGGTTGTTTTTTGGTGGCGGCGGAGCTGCCACCCTACGAAAAGTCGTTGCTTCGTTTTCTTGTTGCATATTTATGGACCGGTATGCGCAATCGCAAGAAATTGTGTAAAAAAGTTTACGTTTTCAATTCAATTTGAGCTGTGTCCAGGCCGTTGGAGTCTATGCCGGTCGGCGTAGCCAGGTATGGGTTGATGCAATTGACGGGGGTTTCCTGCTGCCCAATATCGGCAGTTCCTAAATTATACTTTTATTTGAGTCGAGCATTCTCTCTACCTTAAGTTAATAGTTTTGAAAATAATAGAAATAAATACAATTATTATTTAGCTAAATTGCTTACTTTCGGAACATATTTTAAGACAAAATTCACATTTTTAGATTTAAGATGTTTAAAATAAGTAGTAGGTATAATTAATTTTTTTAAAGATGGTCAAACATTTTAAGAACGTTACTTGATTTTTAATCGTCTGTGCATTTTTAGGAAGACTGAAAGGGAAGGTCGTTTTCATCACTGGAGCCTCAAGTGGTATCGGAGAACACACGGCTTATTCCTTGGCTAAATTCGGCGTAAAATTGGCACTAGCAGCCAGAAGACCGCATGAATTACAACGAGTTAAAAACAAATGTTTAGGTAATTTTACCAAAAGAAAAAAACAAAAAACTCTTATTCTTTTTGCACTATTTGTTGATTAACAATCGCAGACAGTAACTGCCTGCTATTTACAAACGACCTTTACAATCGAACCATATGTCTCTAAATGTTTATACGGGTGCTACAAATTCACTTCGCAAGATATCCTCAACCTCATTTAGAACTCTTACAAGATCGATAATGTGACACTAAAAAATTCCTCCTCAGTAAACGATCTCGGCATCATCTTTAATACAGGTTTATCCTTTAAGTGTGCAACGGCGTTTAGATTGCTTGGTTGATTAAACATAATTTATATCACATAAACGATATCAGAGCTATTAAAACCCCATACAACTGTTTAGTTATAACCATTCTAGAATTCTGTTATGTAATCTGGCTACTCAATTACACGTGTCCATAATATTAATTAGGATAGAAAGGGTACAGCGTTAATTTCGTTAAACATCTATTTAAATTTTAGATTCCATACTAATACATCTACTGAATCTTAGAAGATATGAGGAAATAATTTCTTCTATTTCTTGTAAAGCTGATGAATGAGGCGATCACGACTTGCCATTCCCTCTTAAAACAAATTAATTTCCTGGTACCTACCAAACGGACACGTCACATCTTCCTATTTCAAGTGAGAAGACTGCCAATTCAATTCTAATCTTATTCCTTATTAACATCCAAATAGATGGATTAGATTGTCGTACAAGGTTGGAAAATCGATTGTTCCAACCCTCTGTTTGGTTGTTAGCTCTGTTATCTTCGTTCAATAAGGAGGCCTCGTGGACCTTTTTTCTTTATTTATACAGTACATACTACTTGGATTTTTTTTTCTGTAACGTATTAGTAAAATAAATAAATAATCTTTTTCGCATTAAATGTATTCAAAATAAGTACTATGTGATCATTTAAGGCATTAGGTCAATTATCCTGCGCCCTCTCCTGTATCTCATAGTGAAGCGGTGACTATTAGTTCTTCCTATTAGGATTATTCGCGTTGTTTCCATTATTCCTAGAAAGGCAAGACATTGTATCTAGCTTGCCCTCATATTTTCCGTCATTTTTTGTTGGTCAACATCTGTCTTACAGAACTTCCCGCTTCTGTGTCTTTAAACCCTGTCCAAGAATATGCAGAAAGTGTGATCAATGTTTAAAAATTATGTTATAGAACTCTCGAAAGGTCAGCTAGAAGACAAAGATGTACTCACCATTCCTATGGACGTAACGGATTGTTCGTCGCACAAAAGACACTTCAGCATGGCTGTCAACCACTTCGGCAAGGTAGATATCTTGTTGAACAACGCCGGGAGATCCCAGAGGGCGGAATGGGACGCGACAGAGTTAGCTGTCGATCATCAATTGTTCGAACTCAACGTTTTCGCCGTCGTCAATTTGACAAGAGTGGCTATGGAGCATTTTAACGCCATGGGACAAGGACATGTGGCTGTCGTGTCTAGTTTGGCGGGAATAATTGGAGCGCCTCATTCGGGAACTTATACCGGATCCAAGCATGCTATTCACGTGAGTTTTAACTAATTATCAGTAAATGTTCTGTTATTGGGATCTGAAAAGAAGTGAGATGCCCTCTACAGTGAACACGAGTTACTACTCATAGATATATTTTAACGTTTATTTAGTTTATTTTCATTAAAACACTAATATATTTTTCTTACTAATAATTTTCATTGACAATATTTATGTGAAGAGAGCGATATCTCAACTAAAACTTTATTCCAACGACAAAATATTCTATTTATACATATATGCTTCTAGAATAATTCAGACATCTTTCGACTAAGAATCAGCGTGCGCACCAGAATTTGCTACGGCCTTCACAAAAATCGTTGTCTCTAGATGCTTAGTCGACGGGTCCAGTATTTTCTAGAATTATGTTTCACTTCGACTGGCGGTGATCGAGCATAGGCGTATCATGAGGCGTTTCAGAGATTAACTTATTTCATCGAATATTCTTGGTAACGAGAAAAATGAGGCTAAATGAGGAACAGGGGCACTTAAGGGATTATAGCAGAACTGGTCGAAAATTGTCATTTTGTTTTTCAAGTAATTAAATAGTAGTTTAGGTTGGCAAGTGTTTTGTTTGAAATAATTTAAAAATGAAGCTAGTAAATTGCGTTTATCACTTTTCTACATAGCAACTGTATGATCTGCTTTTAAAATTTCCTCTCCTACCATAAAAGTTCTAGAGTTCCACCAATGTAATTCATAAGTTTAATTAAATTTATCCTTATTTCAGATATCTTACGAATAAATTAATAAATGTTTTATAAAAAGATATTCAAAATAACTTAATAATTAACATAAGTGAATTAAAGTAACTCAAAAATGCATAATTTATAGAAGGTAATACCATAATTACCTACTTACCAAATCAAAATACATAGTTACCTATAATTTTAATTTTAAAATAAAAACTAAATAAGTGTCCAAGAACTGCAATACTGTTATTATTCGCTAATAATTAAAAAGATCAATATAATTCTAAAAAAGTATTTTTCTTCGAAGCACAATATAGAACAAAATATATTTTGTGTACAAAAGAGTCTTTGGAAGCACATATAAAGAAATGCAAACGTTTAAAAATATATGTTTTTGAGTAGTTTTAATGTCATACAAAGTGCGCTGCTATATTCATTTTAGATCCCTATATAACATGCTCTTAGTAAAAAGGCTGTGGACCTTTAAAGTTGAAAAATACAACATCAATAGTTTTAAACGATTAAGTTAAAAGCAATAAAATTTTAGATACATATATCTTTTTCTAATTTTGACATATTTTGTAATTGCAGCAATTGTCAAAATAGATATACTTTATGTAATCAGTTACATAAAGTTGAACATTATTCAACTGGTTACGAAATAGCTATTTATGAAACCAGTTGCGAAATGCCTTATTAACATGATTTTATTATAGAGAAAAACAAAAAGTTTTCTGATTTGTGATGTGTGATTATTTTATTTCAACCATCCGGGCAACTGGCTGAGAATAATTAATAATTTGTATATGAAAGTTATGCAATTAACAATGCGTACTTAAGAGCAAACCGGACCTCTCGCGAAAGCAAAAATGTTTTAAAGATTTTCTATTATAAAATTGTACAGGGTGTCCCAAATAAGAGTGATCGATTTTAAATGTAAATGCACAGCTTATTAATTGCTCTAAAGAGATGGGGTTTTCACTAATTGCTTTCGTTTATCCAAAAGTTTTTTTTTTCAAGTTTGTTCACATTTTATCACATCAATACAGGGTGATCCACTAATGTTGGTCAACTTGAATGGAAAAAATATGTATTATTTTAAATGGAACACCCTGTATATTTTGATGGCATTCAAACGAGAGATTCATCTACTTTTTAAAAATGTTTAGTTTGATATCTTTTGTTTTCTTAACAACACAGATTTTCGAGTTTTTAAGTAACACTGCTGTTTTCTTTATTTAAAAACTGACATTAAATAAAATTAACAAAAAGAATTTGTTCAGTAACAAAACATAACAAAAATTTAATATAGATTACAAAACAATTATTAATAATAAAGGATGTAAAAGATACAACAAATTTAATGCTGTATGTGTCTATGTATACCCTCCTCTTCAATACACATGCGTAATTGAAATTTAACACACACAAAAGTAACCGAACATTAACATTTGGTCTATCTCTTTCAAATTCATTAAAAGTACATACATCTGTCTATTTCATAGGAGAATAAAACACTCGTAGGCAGATTTATTTGAACATAATTTGATACATAGTAAAATAAATCAACTCTTGCTATGACAAGTTGACAACAAAATCAACAAATTTGACAATTCATAAAAACAGAAGTAATTTAATTTACTGTCACTTACAAAATGATTGATTCAGTAACTGAAAAAGCTCAAACTGTGTTAATTTATGCAGAAACTAAGTCTATCTCTCGAACAAGGAGAATATTCAGAAGAAAATTTGGTAGAAATCCCTCTTCTGTGAATATTATTAAAAAGTGGCATGTAAAATTTAGCGAAACTGGTTGCATTGCGCACCTAAAAAAAAAACAAGACACGCTGATGCTCTTTTTGAAAAGTTGTTGTCTATTAATGAAGTGCTGCAAGCTACCAGTTACAGAATTTCGATTAGAAAGAATGCTGGAATTTTAGACATTTCCAAAAGGAACGTGCAAAGGTGTCTAAAAATTTTAAAACTGACTCCATATAAAATTCAGACCTACCAAAAATTGTACCCGTCAGATTATGAAAAACGACTAAGGGTATGCGAGATTTTACTAGATTTATTCAGGAATGAACCTAATACGTTATTAATCATGTCTGATGAAGCAACCTTATACATTAGTGGAATGTGTAACAACAAAATTGCAAAAGATGGGGTTCTGAAAACCCCACTTCTTTTAATGAATTTGAAAGAGAGTCCAAAAGTTAACTTTTGGTGTGGGTTGTCCCCTAGAAAAATCTATGGTCCTTTTTTCTTTACGGAACCAACTGTTACAGGTACAAATTACACGGATATGTTGGAACAGTTTTTTTATCCACAATTAGTTCAAGATGGAATTAGAGACATCGTTTACTTTCAACAAGATGGCGCACCACCTAATTTTTCAATGATAGCACGAGATTCTTTAAATAATTTTTTTAATCAAAAGTGGATAGGTCGAGCTGGACCGATTGAGTGGTCACCGCGATCTCCTGATCTAACTGTCCCAGATTTTTTTCTCTGGGGATATTTGAAGGATAAATGCTACAGTCCTAAGCCTAACAACGTAGAAGAACTAAAAGATAACATTAGGAACATTATCGAAAATATTCCGCCAGATATGTTAGAAAAATCGTTTGAAAATTTAAATTTTCGCTTGCGTATGTGCATTGAACAAGAGGGTAGACACATACAGCATTTATTGTAACTTTTACATCTTCATTATAAATGTTTGTTTTCTAATTTTTAATAAATTTTTGTTATGTTTTGTTACTGAATAAATTATTTTTGTTAATTTTATTTAATGTCAGTTTTTAAATAAAGAAAACAACAGTGTGTTACTTAAAAACTCGAAAATCTGTGTTGTTAAGAAAACAAAAGATATCAAACTATACATTTTTAAAAAGTAGATAAATCTCTCTTTTGAATGCCATCAAAATATACAGGGTGTTCCATTTAAAATAACATATATTTTTTCCATTCAAGTTGACCAACATTAATGGATCACCCTGTATTGATGTGATAAACTGTGAACAAACTTGAAAAAATCTTTTGGATAAACGAAATCAATTAGTGAAAACCCCATCTCTTTAGAGCAGTTAATAAGCTGTGCATTTACATTTCAAATCGATCACTCTTATTTGGGACACCCTGTATTTATATGCGTGCCACTGGAAATACTTAGCAGCAAATTTTTACAGATTTAATACAGAATCCCGCGGAAATCTTTTTTTTTTAATTCCTTTTAAAAATTTTCATAATATTTACTTTTAGGTTTACAAAAAATTCAAGGTTTCTCCAGCCTAAGTGTTATTAGTAGTGTTTCCAGAAAATTTTACAAAAATCGGATTAAAACTAAAGGCTCAGATTGAATTATAAATTTTTGAGGTGTTCGGTTTGCTCTTAAGTAATATCGGTTGCATAGACACAGTTTTATTCAAACCTTTCTAAATTTCAAATAACCTAGTGTTCATTTAAAAAATGCGATGTGTCTTTCCAAATATTCATTTTCTTTGATTGAAAATACAAAAAACGAATGGTTAGTCATTTTTTACGAAACATAATTTTGTAAATAATCTAATCAAAATTAGATAAAATGGTGTATGTACCACGTTATGAAATGCTCTTTCGTGTCACTTATTCATTTTGCGACACCTCGCTCTGCTCGTCTGGAAAGTATTCAGTAGTTACATAAAATATGGCATTTCGTAACTTGTTACATATATAGCTATTGTGTGACGAATAGAACTGGCATGCGCCTTATATTATCTTAAAAAAATATTATATTATTAAAAAAAAACTATGGTCTTACGTCGGACAACTTGAACATTTTATTGATTCCTGCTATGCATTCTTATACTTATATGAGACATATTATTGTATACATACTAGTTTGTTACAATACTTAATTTTTTGTATTTTAGGGCTACTTCAACAGTCTAAGAATTGAAAACATTAGGAAAAAATTAAACGTAACACTTTTGTGTCCGGGGCCTACTTTTACGAATTTCTTAGGAGAAGCTTTCACGGGAAAAATTGGGCAGGTGACAATTTTGCTTCCCTTATCTTATTTGACTTATAAAATACAATGGTTTTTTTGCAATATAATTTTTCATGGCACTTGTCTAAATATTTTTCAGAAATTAAATTCGTCAACTGATCCAAAGGACAAGCGGATGACAGCCGAAAGATGTGGGTACTTAAATGCCGTAGCTCTTGTAAATAAAACTCGGGAATCATGGATGGGCGTATTTCCTATTATCCCTTTTACTTACATAGGAATTTATTTCCCTATAATTTTCAATTGGTAAGTTAAAAACAGGACAGGGTATTCAAATCCCACGTGACTAAATTTATGTCATCACTTGGCTAAAAGCAGAAGCGGATCCAAAACCTTTCCAATAAGTGTGTCTTTTTTCCACCGGTTTGTTGGAATCGTTTTTTCGCCGATGTGGCCTTGAAGGCCTTTTGTTGACTTCGATTTATTTATGGTTGACCGTTGAAATAAATAACAGTTGACATTTTGGATTAAAATTTGTGTTTATAATTTTATTTGAATGTACCTATTTACTTTAATTTGTACGCATATATTTTTAAAATCTCATTTTTTTGGTTTTCCCACAAAAAACCAATTAAATAATTAATAAACTCCTTAATTCTGATTAATTCCCGCAATCCATAGCTGTCAGTCGTCACATCTAATCGGAAAAACCGTACATAGAAATGATGGAATGGTGTTGCATCGATTGCATCAACGTTGGATAAAAAGATAGTGCTGTTAGCTCTTCATTGATAGATTGATGAAATAATAGACAGGTAGATACCGTACCGATGCCAGAGTTGCTGCAACAGTTGGATAAAAAGACACACGTATAGGGAGGAACAATTTGAAGGGACCATAGCATAGTTTTTTTTTTTTCATTGGGTATCAATGGTTAAAGGCATTAACTACTAGGATTATTAGTCTGAATGAATAAGGGAGAGGGCACTTGAATCCATCGGTGGCTAAAAGTAACCATAACTTCAGTAGTAACCATGATACTATACAAAAATTGTATCATGTTAATACTCGCCCTAAAACAATGTCACTGACATATTTAACAGAACTGATACTTTAGCTTTCATAAAGTCACTATATAAGAATGATCATTTTCATTAAATTTCTTGTTTTACCAGGTCACGTGGGATACGGGTCCTTATAAGTAAAAAATTGTTTGATATATTAAAAACGAATTAACTATTTTATTTCAGTGCACTACAGATATTAGGCCCGGAATACCTGTTCAAGCTCAGAGACAGTAAAAAACCAGATCAGGTACACATAGTTTAGTAACTATTTTAATTTTTATACCAGTTTTTATTAAACATTTTACATTATTTAAGTGTTTTCTTTTAAACATAATTTTGGGTACACAGGCCTGCTTATTCGATATTATTTGTCTTTAACACATTTTGTTTTTCAGAATTCACACAAAGACTGAAGGTGGAGGTTGTAATGACATTGTTAAGTAAATAACATATTTGTTTATAAATTTAGATTTTTTTTTAATTTTTGTCTCAACTTAATACATATCCATGAGGGGAAACCATAACTGAGTGGACTTTTATAGTTTCTGAATCCATATTTAAAAATAGATTATACTCTGACCAATATTTGAGTGAGGTTAAAGGAAGTCCCACTTTGAAATATTTGAATGAATACAGAGGGGAAATTTAAAAATGGTTAGCAGTTGCAGATAAGTGTTAAATTTTGTGAAATGGACAGGACACAATTGGGAATCGTTTAGACATTGATATTAATTCCTTGTTATTTCAATTAGATCTTGTAGACACTTTTTGAAGTTTATCTAATTTATTTTAAATGTAACTGTAAGGTGGGGGAGGGTAAGTTGGTCCACAGCTGTTAAGCCTTATTAGGTCCATTGTGCGTCCTCCAAAGGCATACAGGACCTGCCTCAAAAGTTGTCAAAAACCTACTGGTTGTCTCTGAGAGGGATAAGGTACTTGAATCCATCGGTGGCTAAAAATAACTATAACTTCAGTAGTAACCAATGATTCTATACAAAAATTGTATCATGTTAATAATCGCCCTAAAACAATGTCACTGACTATTTAACAGAACTGATACTTTAAGGTTTCATAATGTTACTGTATGAGAATGATCATTCTCATTAAAGTCCTGCAGGCCATCATCTAATCAAAAACCTGTTGGTTGTCGCTGGGAGATGTCTAGAGATAGCCACCCTCTCAGGTCAAAGTCCTGAAAGTTAATAACGTCGCCGAGAGGTGTCTCTAGATGCCCCATTTTTGGGAAGTGGCCATTTGGTGGGCTTCTAGCACCCCGATGGTAAATGCCCCACAGGGTATTTTCTGTATATAATCGGTTTTATTTTCCAAAATGGTGTCCTTTGAAGAGATATGTTTTTCTCATCTGATACTGTAGATTGGTAAGCTTCCTCTAAGTTATATGCTTTCTTCTCATGGATAAGCTCATTTTAATTTAAAAACTCATTTACATGTATTATAAAAAGTCTTCCGCTATGTATTAACAGCTCAGAATATAAATATAGACATATTTTTGTACAGCACCTAAATGTATTTTCCGAAGAATTTTCTTTTTTTGTTTTAACTTTGCTATAGAATAGTTTAGATTAGAATTGCTCAACATTGTCATTTATTTCACTTCATTTGTAGTTGCCATTAATTTGCCATATTTTTACTTCTAGTACCTAATTTATTGATAAAATAACAATTACATGCACTCCTTGGATGTACAGGGTGCCAAGAAATTCTCCTGCCAAATGAAAACTTGTGACCGCTCAAGTCAGCATAACATCTGTAGAAATGGAAGTTTTCATTTAACTAAAGAGTTTCTGATCGCCCTGTATGTGCTAATTTTTGCAAGATATGGAAATGAAGATAGTTAATGTATCATTTTGTTGTCCTTGAATGTATATGTTACAGGGAAGGAGTTAAAAGAAAATATATAGCAATATTCTGTTCTTTTCATTGAGATCAATGTTTTTAGGGGTATTTTTGAGTTGTTTTTGATCAAATTAACATCTTTATCAATTCAAAAATACAATCTCCAACAATTTCATGCAAAAATTAGCCTCTACCACCCTTTTTCAATGTTTTAATCTATATAATACCTAATTTCAAAGAATTTAAAAAATGTAAAAACTTTTTATTGTCTTTATTACTAAATCTATTTACACTAAATAAATATTTTGTTCAATATGTTCTTTTCGTTTTTCCTTCCCCCTAAATATGGCAGCCTTAAATAATTTACAGTAAAGTTCCATAGAAGCAGGAGAATCATCATTGCCTGGTACAGGATAAGTAATAAGGTTAGGATTGCAGTTTGAATCAACGATACCGATAGTAGCAATCAACATTTTTGCAGCATCCCTAACAGCTGTATGTTGAATAAGTACATTATTCAACGTATTAAAAAATATGCATAGATCTGGTAATCTAGTTACACATCCAAATTGTTTGGTGGCATTGGTAAATATTCCTCCTCTCCAGAACCTCGTATGGGCAAACTCCCCACACTCTTTGGCTGTTTTTTCCACTAAATATGCATTCTGTGCTCCCCTCTGGAAAAATATTATAACTCCGTCTCTGTAAGCAATATGAGCCGTTACATTTAAAGCTTTCCTTAAATATTCTGCAGTTTTATCCAAATCGAATATTATATGACCTAATCTACTGCCATAAATGTAAGGCAACATTCGTTCATCTAGCGAACCATCACGATGCCCAAAATGTACTCTGGCATCAAATAAATCCTTTACTGTGAATAAATTATGCACTTTAAAATAATCTGGATGTAGTAAGACTTCTTCTCGTAGTTTTTTCGGAGCTGAAATATCATTTTTAACTATATTAAGTACGACTTTGTTTTTCTTTAACATATCTTACCATTTTCTTGTTCTAATTGTTGTTGGCGATGAGAGGCAGAAAGGCATATAGATCTTAAATTTATGAATGAGGTTTTACTAATTCGCTTTAGCATTATAGGTGGGTTTTTAACTTATAAAATATCAAAATTAAAAACCCAAATGGGTAAATAGTAGGGTTATAAAATTCTTCTTTTTAATATAAAAATAAAATTAAAAAAGAAGTTAAAATGTCAGACCACTGATATAGATTGCTTAATATAATACGTAAACAAAATGTAAGCGGCCATATTGACTCGCCAAGTGCTCACTGATCAGAATAGGTCTGGCCCAAACGCCTTTTAAAATGAAATTTTTAGTCAATTTATTAAAAAATAATTAGTTCAATTTTTACTTCAAAGCATGAGCTTATATTAGGTACTTTAAATAAAAATAATAATTCAGAGATCTAAACAATTTTAAACCACTCGTTTCAGAAATAAAACTTAAAGAAACTCTTAATTGCCATATAACTTTGGATAAAAGATATAAACAACTTTGACGATATATGTAACTAATTTTAGACCTTATTAGTGATAATTCTATAACGAATATGTTAAAATTTAACGTTCGTTCAAAATATAACGTATGTTATATATGTATATAAAAAGCAATTCCATAAATTCATGTTAAATTTTAACTTGTATCGCAAAATCTATTCTAGAGGCAGAAATATGTTAAAAGTTAAACATAAATGTGTTAATTTTATGAGTTAAATGTTTGACTTTAGCAGGTACCTATTAGTAGGATCTAAAACTTAACATACTCGTAAAAGTACTTGATTTTTGATTGTTTAATTCAACTTAATGCAATATATAAAATCATGAAAATTAATCATTTTGCAAGTACATAAGTCATTTGAACCATTGAAATTACCCAAACTCTCTTTAGAAATTAAAATTTATTTATAACCTATATAAACTTTTGGTAGTTACTAATTGATTTCTCGTATATGGCCACTATTAGAAGGTTACTGGGATTAGTCACGGGTTAGTTTTGTTCCTATTAAAAATTTGTGGCCTACCAAATAGTTTATAATATATAAGTCATAAGTAAGTATAGCTAAAATTTACGAGTTAATTAGGATTACAATAAGATATCCCAAATTTCAATAAGAAATTGCCTTAAAATAAAGTTTCAGGTTTTGTTTCGGTTTCGGCTGAAATTAAGAAATGGGCCGTGAAATTCGGTTTCGATTTCTGTTTTGGTTATAAAACCTTAAGGCATTTTTCGCGGCATAAACCAAACATGAACATTTATGATAGATTATGTTATTCAGATATGTCTGATTGGTCTAGGGTCGATTCCACAGTTGTGTTAAACTGAGATTAAAATGACATTGTTAATGTAAAAATGTAATTTTAAACTTCGTTTAACACAACGGTGGAATCGGTCCCTAATAACATAATCTCTTATAAACGTTCATGTTGGTTTATGCCGCAAAAAATACCTTTTTGTTTCGGTCGGGCACTAATTATTACTGGCCCTTGTAAATTTCTAAATTTTCATATTTTTTTTAAATATTAAGGGTCGTTTGCACGGTTGTGTTAAACGGAGATTAAAATGACATTGTTACCATATTGTTACTGTAAAAATGTCATTTTAAACTTCGTTTAACACAACGGTGGAATCGGTCCTAAGTAATTATAACTCAATTTGACTATTATTTATACTGTGTTTAACACATAGATAAATTAAATATTAATTTATCTATGGTTTAACACGAGTAGAGGTACCTATATTATTTTTAAGTTCAAATATTTCACTCTGGTGGATCCGGTGGATCAGACAATAACAATGTGAAATAGAAAATGTTTATTAAAAATCCTTCCGAGTGAGATGAAAAATGCACCTCAAGTCTATTGACAAGCATTCTACCCTAATCCAGGTCCTTGGTGAAACCCTATTTTTGTTTGATTTACATATGGATGATCAATCTATATAACTATATATATTGGTTTCAACCGTCAAATCAAAAATTTCTCGTTCTTATCACAAATCATAACAAAGGGAGGGAATAAAATACAGTAGTTTACAAGAATTCAATAATGGCTAGTATAATAGATTCACATAATATTAAGCAACCGTTTAAAGTAATAGAAGTGCCTTTAAGTAAGTTTTCTGAGGAAATTATTCCTCACCACCAAAATGTTTATGAACAATACAAAGAATCTATGAAAAAGGTAAGATAGGCTCTTATTTTAAGACGTAATATTTTGTAATTTAAAAACTTTTTAGTTATTAACTGTAGCTGATAAACAACAACTTAAAAAGGAAATTAAAGAGAAAAAACGTAATGTGAAACAATTAAGAGATCTTATGTACGAATTAGATACATTAAGAACCCAAGTAGAAGATGAAAATTTAGATAATTTTGATGCAAAAACTGTGTCTCTAAGAAAAATAATATTAAATTTAATTAGTGGATACTCAGGTAAGCCAATGTAAAACATTGGTTGAATTGTTTTATAAAATACGACTGATTTTAGAATTTGAAAAGACTGTAAATAAACTGATACTGAGTGATCAAGCTAGTGAGGAGTCAGAAAAAGAAAATCAAAGGCCTTTTGAAGGAGCCAGCCATATACAAATTCAAGAAAACCTGGAAGACCTGAAAATTAGAGAGAAACAAGAACAATTATGTAAAGTGGAGAACATCAATAGAGATGTACAAGATTTGAATGAAATGTATAAAAATTTACATGAAATGGTAGGCACCCAGGCAGAGAGTGTTGATCAGATATCAGAAAATGTTGAAAGTGCTCAGCTGAATGTTGAAACTGGAACTCGAAGTTTATCAAAGGCTCGCAAGTAAGATACCTTCATATACTTTTTTTGATCCAAGCTTATTTTTAAAATTCCAAAATTTCTTTAGTTTTAGAGCAAAAAATACATAATTCTTAATATGCAAAATACTAATTTATTAAGCAGGCATTTGCTAAGGCCACTAAATAATCCTTTTTTTATAAATTATACTTAAATCCAGAAATATGTAGTAGGCAGTTAACTCTGTTGTATGTAAGCCAACAATCTGTTTGTACAGCATTGCCATATCATTTGTATTTTCTTTTTCATTTTTCCCCAAGCAATGTTGACTCAATGATAAATGTCATTCTTATCATTACTGCCTATTATGTATTGATTTAACCTTTACAAATCTACCCCTTTTATTATAACTTGCTTCATTATCATTAAACTAACACCGTCTGGGGTACCAAATACCCTGACCATAGGTATTTTTGCCGTTGTAGATTAAAAGCAGTAGCATATCCAGTTACAGGAGCCGTTCTAGGTGGCATAATTGGTGGCCCCATTGGACTCGTCGCCGGTCTAAAAATAGGGGGATTAGCGGCGGTGACGTGCGCCATAGCTGGATACACTGGTGGTAGGTGGTTCAGGAAGAAGACCATCGAGAGTACTGATGACCAAGACATACAAATACAAAGTGAGGATGTCAATGGCGAGGCAGTAACGACGAAAAAGGAGATTTGACAATGTTATTTATGCTAGATTTAAGTGTTTGATTGATTAAGTCCTTTATATTATTTTTTAAAGCTGCAGTATACCCATAAGCACAAAAGAACTCACAGAAGTTGCTAACATCTAAACTATTTTTTGCTGTTGAACCAAAGGTTTAGTGTCTCTTTAATTTAAAGCTAACTAAGATTTTAGTAACGACATTTTCTTAAGTTTTTATGAAAAAATTGATGTAAAGTAAATACAATTTAATTTTAAATAAAAGAAATTGGCGATTCTCTTAGACGCTTTTTCTTCAAAATACAAAACTGTCACAATAATGAAGTCGGGAGTTTTTATTGTAAAAAGGGTGGTACTGTTAATTTAATTTATTTTTTTTATTACTTTTAATGATATGCTTAAAGTGTACAATGAATAAAGTTATAAAAAATTGACGTCGTTTTTTTGTTTTTTTTTTTTAATTATTTCCTCTGGTAATACTGTAATATTACGTATCAAGCCGTGTAAACAGAAAATCAAGCTTGAGTTTTGGGACGAACGATTAAATATTATTAATTGAAGAATTACCGGACTTTTACTATTGCCGCGTTTGAGAATCCACATCGGATGCATCTGAGATGTAAAAAATCTTTGATCACGTGATTCAGTATACGTAAATGTAATGGGACAGATGTGTCCGATGTGGATAAAAAAAACGCTCGAGATGTAAAAAATGCATCCGATGTGGATTCTCAAATGCAGCATATGAAAGTGGCAACAGTGCTTTATACTTTATTTATGCTGCGTTTGAGAATCCACGTCGGATGCATCCGAGATGTAAAAAATCTTTGATCACGTGATTCAGTATACGCAAATGTAATGGGACAGATGTGTCCGATGTGGATAAAAAAACGCTCGAGATGTAAAAAATGTATCCGATGTGGAATCTCAAACGCGGCATAAATTTGGGTATTTTTCGATTCCCGTTGTTGGTCAAGCTGTCAATAAAAATATTGGTTGGCAAAACTGATCACTTTTCGTTGACGCCATTTTGTTGATGGTTTACGCTTGCCGCTTGAGTTTTGCAGCAGCGTGTTGAAAAAGTTAAAATACGAACCAAACCTATTTTAATTTTATAAAATTCATACTCTAAATGGATTATTCCGTTATATTCATTTAGGTCTGGAGCGATCCAAGAGCTTCTGACCGAATACAAATCATTTACTCAAGAAATAATGTGAAATGGTTTATATTTCGGGTTAGAGTAGGAATATTTTCAGGTTCTTTTTGTTTATTATTATTACTTTAGTGTAGAGCTTTTCCAATAAATGATCATGTATACGGTGAGTAGAATAATGTTATTAATAATGTTACAGAATTGCACTCAGGTTTTAAATGTATTATAAGTTTTGTTTGCCTTAAATGAATGGATCTCTTTACGTAGGGAACCAACACTAATCAGGACAACCGATTCAGTGATAAAGAGAAGAAACTGCTCAAGCAGATGAAATTCCATCCATGCCTAAGTCAGCAGGTAGGTGTTTTTGTATAATTTACTTCATATAGGAATATTTAAAGTCTAGATTTATTCAATTTAAAGCTTGAATCATCACATGAAAGTATTTGACTTTGTAATGACAAAGTGGGCTATCATTTATTTTTCCAGCCACTAAATGCATAGTAAAAAGATAAGGAGGGTTCTTAGTGTGTTTTATAATTGTATTTGTAGTTAACCTCACCTCCCTTTGAAGCACTTGAATTTGAACTACACGATTTGATAAAAAAGAACATATTTGTCTCAGTTTCTGTCAAAAAAGTATTATAAAAACGTTAGGTTGTATTTAGTCAGTATTGTGTTTATGTCTCAGAAATGCATGAAAAAAAATGGTAGGTCAGGTCTTCAGCAAAAAGTTGAAAATTAGTATATTAGAAAACATCTTCAATATCATTGATATGTATATAGTAAGAACAGTAATGGTCCCCTTTGGGAACCTTGTGGAACCCCTGTGGGTACATTACATTAATACTATTCAAAATAGATAATGAATGTGATTAATAGAATCAAAGGCTTTACTAAAATCAGAATATGTGTTAACTTGCATATTTTCATAACATTTACAAAGAATATTTTGTTTATAGACCATCAGATTGGTAACTGTATATCTACTGGCAGTAAACTCTAGTTTTTGATTATTAATGATATAACTGCAATAGCAAGACAAAGGCTTTTCAAACAGTTTTGGTATGATTCATAACATACTGATGGACCTGAAATTCTGTATAGTATAAGTACCTATCTCTGGTTTTAAATACAGGAACAACAAGGCGAGGCTCATGGCCTAGTCTATGATGAGCCTCACCCTGTATACATAATACAAATATATATTTCTATTAGAAAACAATACACTATTTCTGCTTTTTGTATTCCAATAGAAATATATATATTTGTATTAAGTGTATAGGGTGTGCCTTTCAAAAGTAGCCTCCTCCTAGACTAGGTGATCATTTAAACTTAAAATTCCATTAAAAACCTCTTCAATTAAAAAAAAATCTTATATTGTTATCAATCAATAATTGAGGGTTACTACAGACTATTGAACATCTATAGTCATATTAGGCACCAAGATGCAAAATATCGCGTTTTAATTTGTACAATAATGCCATATTATCAATATCAACCAATTCCCTGTCTTTTTTAGTTGGATAGGTATTTATATATAGATGCATGAAGAATAGTGATCCAGAGATATATTTAGACGGTGAAAACGCACAGACACGTCGATTGGTATTTTTAATTGTGCATTTTTATGACATACCTTCTATAAAAAAACTTTTTATAGAGGGTGTGTCATGTAACAGTCGCCAATACCAACTTTCTTATTTTAAATGCAACACCCTGTATTTTTTCAATTTTTGGATTCTAGACATATTTTATGTACTATGTCCGAGTTATTGCAAAAATTAACATTAATAAAATAAAATAATTTGATTAGTGAAATTCGTTACAACACACTCAAAAACTAATAAGTAAATACTGTTTATTTCTTAATAACATAACAAAAAAAAACAAATCTCAATGTATATGTTCAAAATGTTAATTTTTGCAATAAATCAGAAAACATTTAATATGTCTGAAACAGGAATAGGACAGTACATAAAGTATGTCTGGAATTTTCTGAAGAATCTAAAAATTTAAAAATATACAAGGTGTTGCATTTAAAATTAGGAATTTGGTATTGGCTACTGTTACATTACACACACTGTAAAAAAAGTTTCTGTTAAAAAAAATTTACAACTAAAAACACTAATCAACGTGTCTGAGCGTTTTTTCGAACACGCCCTTATTTATCTATTACCGAATTTATTCCATTTGGTTGTTTTACACTGTATGTGTATAAATGTAACTGAAAAGAGAAAATAAATTTTTTCCAAAGTGTACTATTATTTCTTGTATATTAATGCCATTTTAATCCCTTCTAATATTCTAGAATACAAACAATATCTTCAAATGGGCATTCTTATCTTATTTCTAAAATTAATAGATATATTTTACACATATAGTTTTTATTCAGACCCTACTCTAAAAAAAACTTTTTAAGTCATGTGATTTAGAATTTAAAATGTCACATTTCTAGTTTGATATGTGGCAGCGTTGCCCAGTAATTGATGGTGGTCCTTCAAGAATCTAACACCAATAACTAGAATGCTGTCATTTGTATACTACAAATTCAAAAAAATTGACAATGGGCAAAATTTCAGAAATGTCTTAAAAGAGTTGCTGTATATCGAAAGAATGTAGAAAATCAAAAAGCAGGATCGAATATAGATTAAAAAAATGGGGATAAAAACAAATAATAATTTTAGATCTTTACGTTAAACAAGCGATTCACCAAAAAATTTTAATTCTTTTTTTTTTGTAATGAAAAGTTACATAGTTTCAGAGGGTTAGTAATTTGCCAAAATATCGCTTTGAATCTTAACACGTGAATTTTCGTTATAGTAAGAGAAAACTTGATAGTACACTATAGTGTTAGAAGTTAAAAGAATTAACTTCAAAATTATTGTTTTTAAATGATTTAGCACCCTGTATACTATAACACCCTGTATAGCCACTTCATAAAACACGTGTTAACATGGTTTTATAACGTTTTATTGAATATCTCGTAAACAATGTTTGAAATCGAAAGTCAAGTTCCCGCTCTCTCCTGGTCCTGGACACTGAAACGGGTAGTCGTGGTATTGTCGACCTCGGTGGCGGCGATATCCTAATTCGCTGACTCTAACACGGCCAGACTGACGGGTGTTTCGTTCTCGAAACATGTATCCATTTCCACTGTGGTGTCTTCATTTTCTGTGGAAAAAGGTAAAACGTGACCTACATGCCAAGGTTCCAATATATACTTTCATGACCCCAAGCTTCAAGATAATGTAATCTTGAAAAACAAATCATAAATAAAATATTTCATGGGAGTATGCTGACCCCATGCTTCAATTTATAATTCTAAAAAAACAATTCATAAATAAAACATTTCATGGGAGTACCCCATCCTTCAATTTGTAATTTTCAAAAATAATCCATGCGGGAGTATGATAAACCCATTCTTCAATTTGTAATCCTGAAAAACAATAAATATTTCATGGGAGTATGCTGACCCCATCTTTCAGTTCGTAATCCTAAAAACAAAACAATTAATAAATATTTCATTTCATGGAAGTACCCCATTTTCAAGTTGTAATCTTGAAAAATAATTCATAAATAAAATAATCCATGCGGGAGTATGCTGACCCCATTCTTCAATTTGTAATCCTAAAAACAATTCATAAATATTTCATGGGAGTATGCTGACCCTATATTTCAAGGCATATTATTCGCCCTTGAGACAAAACATGGGGAGTATGCTGACCCCATCTTTCAAGGCATTTTATTCGCCCTTGAGACAAAACATGGCAGTATGCTGACCCCATCTTTCAAGGCATATTATTCGCCCTTGAGACAAAACATGGGAGTATGCTGTCCCCATCTTTCAAGGCATATTATTCGCCCTTGAAACAAAAAAATAACACTAAAGATGAGTGTATGCTGACCCCATCTTTCAAGGCTTATTATTCGTCCTTAATACATAAAATATAACATTAAAGATGGGTGTATGCTGACCCCACCTTTCAAGGCTTATTACTTCATCCTTGAGATATAAAACAACATTAAACATGGAAGTATGCTGACTCCATGTTTCAAGGCTTATTATTTCATCCCTGCAACAATAAAAATCAAAGCAGTCAAAACAAAACATTTACTTTACCTTCAGTTTCAAAAAATTGAGTCTTGCAAATCAGTCACTAATAATAACCCGCTCGGCCAAAGTCTGACTGATTTAACATTTTTCGGAGACGAAATTTTTGTCAACGCCTTTATTTTTCTCTACTCCGATCTACCATCTTCGGCAGAAATTTTCCATCCAAGAAAATCAATTTTTTTTGTTTGTGAAAACATTTTCAAATATTTAGGAAAAACCATGCTTTTTCTAAGGCTACTAAAACTTGCTTAAAATAAATCAAACCCTGTGAAATAATGTAGCTAAAAGTCGACATGGCAATAAAATTATTAATTAAATTAATTTCCATAGCACAGTTGTTTACTGCAGAAACAAAACACTAGTAAACCAGTAATTTTTATTTTAATAATCTGACATAATTGATCTCGATATTGTTGTATAGTACTTTTAATTGATTTAAACTAATTCCAAAATCCACGGAAATTCTTAAAACATCCGTTAACTATCGCTTCATAATACGTATCTATGTATCATTATAATCAGTAACATAAACATTAAACGTGTACCTAGACTGAGCTGGCTTGCCTGTAATTTTAACATCTGTTCCGAACTTATATTTTGAAATAAACTGTCTCAAGTTATGCCCATAATACAAATTTCCTGTAAACTAACCCGGACTGTTCAATAAATGTTTCACACATCAGAGAGACACTTAGTTCGGTATCAATAAACCCATATAGGTTGATTAATGTTTATTTCCATTGGCACACTTGCTTCGCTCTGAAGAAAAAATTAATTTTATGTGTTTTATCTTTGAGTCTTTAAGAAAACAGTTTTCAGTTACGTGACCTGACTTAAATATTTTTTTTATTTTTTTTTTTTACTAGCTAAGGCAATATCGACATCATTATGAATGGTTGACTCGTTTATCTCGTTTAAAATTCTTGAATTTTTTGTTTGTTTTGGAGAAACAATTATTGGTTTACACATTTTTTTTTTTTTTTTTTTTTTTATATATATCCAGATACACATTTTGGAATGGTGCTTAAACATGAAATTAAATCACTAATTGAAATCTCTTAATAGTAACGGATTCTTGTACATTTCATGAATCCCGTAAACAATTCAGTTAAAAAATTAAACCTTCTGTACTCCGATTAGCACCCAAATTTTTCACTAAAGTAACCTTTCTAATTTGAACATTGAACATATTGTATAAAACATTAGAGACCGCTGTCAAAAGAAGAGGCTTCAAAAAGTA